CTGAGCTGTGATTCAGGACAGGTGTGATGCTCTGTGGTATCAGGGACACAGCCTCTTCTTTATTGTTCCACTTTGCATGGCCTCAATATAATGCTCTAAGATGGCAGCATCTATGTTTCCAGCAGCAGGAGCAGCAGGACAGAGGAAGAAAAAAATGAAATTGCCGCCACATGACATTCCTACATGTTTTCACTTCTTTGCAAGGAGCTGGGAAATGGCTTTATGTTTGGCACGTGTGTGTAAAAAAATCAGGACATCTATTGACACACATGAAAGGATATTGGGGGACAACTAGTACCCTTTGCTACAAGCAAACACCAATCTTCCAGGATGTCTTGACCTTGGCAATATTGGTGTTTTGGGTCAGATAATCCCTTGTTGTGGGTGGCTATCCTGTGCATTGCAGAATCGGCTTAGCAGAATCACTGGCCTCTATCCACTAATAGCATTTCTGTACTTGGGACAACCAAAAATGTCTGTAGACACTTCTAAATGTTTCTTGAACAGTCCTCTACACTTCCTGTTCACCACCACTGATGTACTGTGTGCAGGATCTATGTTGATCATCAAAACCCACCATAAATGAGGTGATTTCTTTTTTTGTGTGTGAGACAGAGTCTCACTTTGTCACCCTTGGTAGAGTACCATGGTGTCATAGCTCACAGCAACCTCAAACTCCTGGGGTTAAGTGATTCTCTTGCCTCAGCCTCCCAAGTAGTTGGGACTACAGGCGTCTGCCACAATGCCTGACTATTTTTAGAGATTGGGGTCTCACTGTGGCTCAGGCTGGTCTTGAACCTATGAGCTCGGGCAATCCACCCACCTTGGCCTCCCAAGTGCTGGGATTACAGGTGTGGGCCACCGTGCTTGGCCTAGATGAGGTAATTTTATAATGATAAATGCTACAATGAAAATAAAATTGGGTAAGAAGACAGATAGGCCTGGGATGCAGCATTTACTATGTATACAAAAATCCTTATGGGGAAAGATCTTGGCTTGTGTTAAGAATGAGAAGGGAGGTGTATGAGGATCTATATCCTTTGGGGAAAAAGGAAAAAAGGAAGAATGCAGGTGTGGATGGCAGGGCAAGAGGTCTGAATGAGTAGAAATAGATAGGAGCCTGGTGAGGTCTTGGGGTTTGATTTCAAGTGTAATAGGAAATAACTGGACGATGAAGCAGGAATGACATGGTCTATGTATTCTTTAAAAATCAGATTGCTGCAGGGCGGCACCTGTGGCTTAAGGAGTAGGGTGCCGGCTCCATATGCCAAGGGTGGCAGGTTCAAGCCCAGTCCCGGCCAAAAACTGCAACAACAACAAAATCAGGTTGCTGCTGACAGCATATATATGAAAGAGGGGTTAAGAGAAGATGCAGGGAGATAAGTAGGTTGTCACAGCAGTCATGTCAGAGATGAAGATAGCTTGGGGTGTGGCAGTAGCAGTGAGAATGGAGAAATAAAATTGGAGATGAAAAATAGCTAAGATAGAGGTAGCTAATGCTGTTTTTGACTTAATCCACATGGCTCATGGGGAAGACCAAGTGGAGTTAAAGGGTATGTGTTTTTCACGCATCTTGAAATTCAGTCTAGGCCGTTATGAGATTTGTATTCTATACTCCTGCATTGTTTTCCTATGGCAGCTGTAACAAATTACCACAAAGTTGGTGCTTGTAACAACACATTTAATCTCTTTTTAATTTTTTTCATAAAGGCAGGATCTCACTGTGTTGCCCAGGCTATATGTAGTACAGTGGTGTGGTCAAGGTTTATTGCAGCCCTGAACTCCTGCTCTCAAGTAACCCTCCAATTTCAGTTTTCTGAGTAGCTAGGTATGACATCTTGCCTAGCTAATTAAAAAAAACAAAAACATCTTTTGCTGGTGAAGAAGGGGTCTTGCTATATTGCACAGGCTGGCCTAGAACTCCTGGCCTCAAGCAATCCTCTGGCCTTAGCCTCCCAATGTGCTGGGATTATAGGCATGAGCTGTGATGCTAAGCCTATACATTTATTTTCATAGTTCTGGAGGCCAGAAGTCCAATATCAGTTTCAGAGTGTCTGCAGGGCCATGCTTCTGCCAGAGGCTCTAGGGAAGAAGCTGTTTCTTGGCTCTTCCAGCTTCTGGTGGCTGCCAGCATTCCTTTGCTGTGGTTTTATCACCCCCATCTCTGCCTCTGTGGTCTTACTACCTTCTCCTCTGCTATGGGGTAATATCTTCTTTAGCCTCTTATAAGAATACCTGTGGCTGCATTTAAGGCCCATCCACATTACCCAGGATAATCGCTTCATCTCCAGATCCTTAACTTACTTGCATCATTTACCATAGAAGGCAATATTCCCAGGTTCCAGAGGTATCTTTTGGGAGACCATAATTCAGCCACAATTCCTGAATGAAGCATTTGAAATCACGTCTGGTTATAGGAGGGACTAATAAAGTCACAAGGTGACTTTAAAGATCAAGGTGGAAAGCAACACTGTGAAAGTAATTTTTAAAATGTCATTTAGTAAATTAAATGTTTAAAAAAAGCAAAATAGAACTTTCTAAAACAGATTTTCAAGATTTTTAGGAAAGGTAGGATAAAGAATGAAAAAACAAAGGAGGCTAGGCTACATGGAATCTACACAAATCCTTCTAGAATCTAGACATTAAAGTAAAAGTCAATGCTTAAAAGCACTGCCACATTCACACGTTGTGTAGTGGGCACTAACATGTGGTGTGTCGCGTCAGCGGGCTGGGCATGGGCCATTCAGCTGTGGTGGTACATGGATGGGAGGGATGGTGAGAAGAACAGGTGCAGGTGCATCCCAGCAGCTGTGGTTGGGAGGCCCCCTGAAGGAGGAGTGATGCTGCAGGAAAAACAGACACCAGCACCAACAACTCCAAGAATGGGTAATATTTAGAGATCCAGGCAGGCTGATGGCATCAGGACAATTATTGCAGAGTAGTTAAACTTCAGGCTCTAGATTGGAGTTCTGGCGCAGGACTACGTCACTAAAGGGAATCCTAGCTCCCAGAATGCTGGGATAAATAGCCAAGAGAGGAACTTAGCCCCTAAGGAACAAGGCAGGAATCTAGTTACCAGAACTGGAGCCAAGATAGAGCTGGACAAACAGCAAGCATGACTCATGCCGAATTCTAGAATATAGCTAGAATTTTTTTTTTTTTTTTTTGAGACGGAATCTCACTCTGTTGCCTCAGGCTAGAGTGCAGTGGCCTTATCATAGCTCATAGCAACCTCCAACTTCTGGCCTTAAGTGATCCTCTTGCCTCAGCCTCAGGCACATGCTACCATGCCTGGCTAATTTTACTATTTTTGGTAGAGATGGAGTCTTGCACTTGTTCAGATTGGTCTTAAACTCCTGAGCTCAAACCTCCCACCTCAGCCCTCCAGAGTGTTAGGATTAACAGGCATGAGCCATCACGCCCAGCCTAACTAGAACTTCTGAAGAGTTCTTAAGAACTTCTCTACTTTCTAGACACCAGAACTTCAAGGCAGATTTGTTGAGTATGGGGAAAGTCTGATAAAACTCTATGTAATTCTAATGGAAAAAGGTGAGAATAACATTCCTGTGTTGAAACTATAATGTAGCTTAACACATAAAGAAGGGGAAGAAAAATAATTTAATATCATTAAGTACTAGATCCATGGAATACATACTTACTTATATGATTTGCTAACCCCCATCACTGGTAAGGAAAGCAATAGGAAGAACTAATATAGCTTGAGAGACAGGTGGATAGACAAAGGGCAGACTCAAGAGCCAAACTCCCTGGCTCAAACCCTGGCAGATAGAAGGCAACATCTTCTGATTGGCAAGTTTTATAGCTGGTCTGTGTATGAAGACTAGGATAATATCCAGGGAACCAGGATACTTGAATTCTAGACTGCAATTCTGGCTCTGAACCCAACTATCCAGGTTACCTCTGAAAAACTGCTCCAATTTCTGAGTCCTCAGGTTACAGTTCTGTAAAACTGAAAGCCCTAAAATGTAAACTTTGAATGATTTGGGGGGATCTTTCAAATTCTTATGCTCTTCAAATTGCACCCAGACTTCTTCCTTATGATACAGTTTGAATAATTTTGAAAATCCCTGTGTTAGTTTATATGGCAATCCTGATCTAAATTTTATCATTCCCATTTTGGAGATAAGGAAATAGAGGTCTACCATGGCTAAGTAAGTGTTGAAGCTGGGATTACATTATAGTTTGCTATTTTTGTTGTTGAGATAGAGTCTTACTTTGTCATCCTGGATAGAGTGAAGTGGTGTCGTCATAGCTCACAGCAATCTCAATCTCTAGGGCTCACATGATCCTTTTGCTTCTGCTCTAGCCTTAGTGGCTCCCCACCCCAAAAGCTAGGACTACAGGCATGTACTACCAAGCCCAGCTAATTTTTCCTATTTTTTGTAAAGACAGGGTCGTGCTTTTCCTCAGGTTGATCTCGAACTCCTGACCTCAAGCAATCCTCCTGCCTCAACCTCCCAGAGTGCTAGGATTATAGGCATGAGCCACCATATCTGGCCTAGTTTCCCAATTTTAAGGCTGTGCATTTTCTGCCTTCCTGTATGTTATTCTGACATTAGACCAAATTTTCAATATCTATGCTTCATCTTCGTAGCTCTTACTTTGATATTTCTAAGTCTATGCTTTGAGCTATCGTTTGTTTAGTTCTATTTCAGCACTCCCTTTTCTTGTTATTTATGGTCTTGTCAGCCCATATGGTCTGACTCCCATTTCTTACCCTTGTTAAATGTCTCCTACATGTCTGTTTTCTAGCAGTAACTCCTGACTTTTATCTGAAATAAAATTTTTATGTACTTGCTCATTTCTACACTTTATGATGAAAAATTAAATATGCATAAAGTTAGTACTAAAATTATAATAAACAACAAAGGATGAAACAAAGACCAGAGGAGCAAAAACTCCAGGAATTACTTTATATCCATTTTCTTTTATACTTAGGTCTTTATAAGACAAGGAAGATAATTTTCATGTCTAAACACTGAAACAAAATAAATCTTATCAATATTATAATCAGGATCATCTTCTAAAGGAAAATTTAAATGAATTTTTGAATGGAAAAATAGTGTTTAATACATGTATTTAGCTTTCAGAATATAGAAACATCTCAGGAAAACTGTGTGACACAAGTGTAGGTATATTTGAGGTAATATTTGTATGATCAGTAACTCTTACAATCATAGGAAACACTGTTTTTTGGATATATTACACATTAACTTTTCAAGTAAAGAACTCCACATCATTGTAAAATAAACTCAGTTCAGTGCTATGGCAGTTATGCAAATAGAGGTAAACTCCATTACTAGATAAACTTGAAAAGGTAGAATGCTTACTAATTATTAACATCAATATCACCAAAACCCAGTCCAACAGGTGCAGAAGCATAGTAACAAAAATATAATTATCAATATAGCTGTCTTGTTAGAGTAAACCATTAGTATCATCAGGCTTAAGGAAAATCTAAGGTCACTGTTATTTCTGACTCTTTCTTATCAATACAGTGGCTAATTATGATTGGGCAGCACCTGTGGCTCAAAGGAGTAGGGTGCCGGCCCCATATACGGGAGGTGGTGGGTTCAAACCTGGCCCCGGCCAAAAACTGCAAAAATTATGATTGGTTATCCTTATTTACTCTGTGTACAAATTTGCTGATACTGAACACTATTTTTAAACACATCATCATCTGATTAAATAGCTTATTCTATTAGTGAAAACTCATCAAAGCATTCAAGGCTATTAATAGTCTCATGCAACTTAAAAAATCTAATTTTGGAAGTAACCAGCTAATGAATTTTTTCTGCCCATATGTAAGTATGGTATTTAACATATTTATACTTTTCTTAAGAGCTAGAGTATAGATTTTACAATATAACTAAAACATCATCAAATATTTTGATAATGCCATTATGATATAACTTATGTGTGCCATAATTACTGTCAGTACATTTTTATGAACTGAATTTTAAATTTTCTAGAGGCTAACATGATAACAAATTTATCATCTTGACACGATGTATCATAATCTTCTTTCATAAAGTTCACAGGTCTTTCTTATTGCCCTTTCCTGAACGACCCTGTAAAAAAAAATGTGACTTAGGTAGTATAGCAAAGAGTGAGAAATAGACTCATAGATATGACAAGGTCTTTTAATAAACATTTTCTCTTCTGGGTATAATTAGAATGATCAGATTAGAAAAAGGGAATGAGAAAGTCTCAAATTTTAAAATCTATAAAATTTGTGGTTTTTATTTAGATGGGAAAAATAACACTTGATAAGTTCATTCTTTTCCTGTCTTATTTTGCTTTTGTTTCAAAAATTACACCAGGAAAACATAATTTCTAAAATTCCTTCACAGCAAATCCAATTAAAATTTCTGGCAGAGAAAGAAGAAAAAAACTCAGTTGGTGGCTTACTTTTTTTTCTCTGTCCTACAGATATTTATTTGCCAATAGATCTGACTTCTCAAATTACATTCTGCTGATCATGTTACAAAGAGGATTTAACTCATCATTAAAAACTGAAGGAAAATGGAACAGAAATTAACTTTAAGAGATTACTTGTACTACAAATCCAGTAAATGCCTACATTAAGAAAAAAGTCCCATACAATGAAGTTGCACAATGTTACTGTTTGTATGGGAAGTTCACCCAGCTCTTGTTGATGCTGAGCATTGATGATTTCAGAAGCAACTTTCATAACATTAAGCAACCAAATAAGAAGACAAGATTACAGGAGGTATACCAAGTGATAACATGTTACTTCCACAAATTTATAAATATCTGACACCTTCTGATAAAAACGAAAGCATGAATGAAGCTGTTCTTATAGACAAGTCACTTAAGAGTTTTCCAAAATGAAATTAAAAAACTGGAAGGTGCTGATGAGTTTGTGCTTTCCAATAAGCCCTAGGAAGTTCTGATTTTTATTTATTTATATATTTTTAAGAAGAGAGCCAGTACAAATAAGGAAAGGCAAAGACTACACGTTTCGATGTTTTGAAGGAACTGTTTTATAATATTTATTTAGTGCTTATAATAGGGAGGGGACCAGATGGGGAAATCCAAATGGATTTAATAGATGCAAAGCGGGATCTGTTTACAGTAAAGAAACCAGCTTTTCCTCCTTTGACTTTTGTTTCCTTAATATTTTAATAGTCCTTTATTTTATGATTGTTTTACTGGAAGAATGTTAACTATGTAAGACTGAGAAGGCTAATATGTTTCCAAAAGAACTTTAGGATACAGCTTTTTACTATAGATGTTCTTTTGCTTTCCAAGCAGAGTGGTGACCATTAAAGTTCAAGAGTTACTTTTAAGAAAGGCGTTTTTATTTATTTAATGACAACTAAATCTCAGAAACTTTTTTTTTTTTTTACTTTTTTTTTTTTTTTGAAACAGAGTCTCAATTTGTCACCCTGGGTGGAGTGCCATGGCATCATAGCTCATAGCAACCTCAAGCAATCCTCTTGCCTCAGCCTCTTGAGTAACTGGAACTATAGGTGCCCACCACAATGCCTTACTGTTTTTAGAGATGGGGTCTCATTCTTGCTTAGGCTGGTCTTAAATGCCTGAGCTCAAGCAATCCACCTGCCTCGGCCTCCCAGAGTGCTAGGATTACAGGCATGAGCCACTGTGCCCGGCCTTTATGTCAGAAACACATAGGTGGTTCTCATACTGGACAGTGAGGTGGGAGGTAGGTAGGTGAATGGGGAAAAACGTAACCAATCGAGACATAAAAGCATTTTATGGCTGTAGAGCTTTTCTTGATTAAAAATACTTAAAGTGCTTTCTGACACAGGATCAGGTTTAATGCCTATAACTCTCCTTTGAGCAAAAGTAGCTGAAGTGCATGGTTGTCAAATGACTCACCTGAGGGTTACAGAACTGGTAAACTATGGAGCTGAGATTGTTTTCCCTCTTCAAACAGAGATATTTATTACACGGAATTGGCTTTATAGTGATGAGAGTGTAGCCACAGCAAACAGGGTGGGGTAAAGCACCTCTGGGATTAGCAACAGGAGAAAATCATCAGCACTCCTTGAACTAGCGCAGTGCTTTTCATCCTATATCTCACAGCACACTTGAACCTATAGTTAAAACTTCTGCGGCATACTTTTATGTTGATCAAAAAAGAAAAAGATTGAAATAAAGAATGTGCTTACTGTGCTTACTTTGAACTTCTTTTGAAAATAATTTAATTAATGATCGTTAAAATTTTCCTGGCACATGTAAGATCTTCTCACAGCACACAAGTGTGCCGTAGCACACCAGTTAAAAATCACTGGGCTAGAGGGATGAGGGAACATGTGGTTCCCAGAGTGATGGCGATAGGTAGAAGCTGCCTGGTGGGAATTGGGGACCATAGAGAGAAGGAACCGGGGCAGTGAAGGAGAAGGCACCTAAAGTAGAGAGAGTAGGATAAATCCCTGGCTTTCCTCTTCCTCCTGCCTTCAGTCTTCTACAAAGGCCTACCATTGGCTAAACCTGCCTAGAAGTCACAGAGCAAGGCAGCCTGGGAAATGAACCTCCCTGTGATACACAGTTGAGCAACAGTGGGAGCAGAATGGATCCAAGAACACACAGTCCAATGACCAGCACAGGCTGAAGAACATAGTGGGTTTATGATGAAGTTCTGGAGAAAGACTTCCTGACTTTGACTGCTATCACCTTCTAGTTCAGTGACTTCAGGTAATTATGTAATCACTCTGGGTCTCAGTTTCCTTATCTACAAAATAGGGATATTAAAATACTTTAACTTATTGCATTGTCATGACTAGTAAACATGTTCTTTTCCAAAGAAACAAGTATAACAACTATTGTCTTGGAAAGGAATTGCTCATGAAAGCTTTCTATATCCTTTGCCAAGAATGTAGACACTGGAAGCTGAAGGTGGTTTTTTTAAGGAAAGAAATGGTTGATGGAATTTCACTGTTAAACACAAGTTTCAGGATTAGGAGAACCATTAGCTGCTACTGCAAGGGAGACATTTAGCAATGGACACTGGCTATAAGAAATTGAGGATATATTTCCAGTTTTCCTTTTTATATTCAAGGATCTAAACATTTCTGACACCATGGCAAAGTGTCTTGGTGTAGATATTTATACCAACTGAATAAACCCTGACCTCATGAAGAAGGGGGAAATGTTTCTGGACAAGAAGCTTCTGAGGTGACTTCTCACATCCCATGGTGAATCCTGAAAGATGCCATGCAGTAATTCTCATAGTGCCCTGAAGGGGTCAGTAATTTCAGGATCCCTTTATTTTGGACATGGGGAAAGGGTGGTTTTGAAAAATCTACCTACTCCAGAACCATGTGAATTGAACCATCAGTGTCCTGGGACTGTAGCACACAGGGTATCCACTCTGCTCTGGGCTGCTCTTCTTCCTCCTATTGTCTAACAGACTGTTAATTAGAAGGCACAGACCTACTGGGATTACCAGATTACAGAATTGCTCTGGATTGCTTCCTGACTGGCTCTACATCAAGGCTGGAGTGGCTGGTTGACCTTAAGTCATTCTTTTAGCAAAACTTCTACAAAGGGAGTAGTAATACTGATGATGATGATGATAATAGCTGTCAGTTCTTGACTGTTTACTATTAGTCTGGCAGGCATAGTGCTAGGCACCTCACATATTTAGTTATCCCAACAATCCAGTGAGTCGGGCATTTTTATTGTTCAGACAGAGGGATGACATAAGCTGATTAATATCAAATAGCTAGCTTGAGTCCAGGTATAGGTATTCTAGATATGTCTGACTCTAACATCTGTAAGTATAGTGCCTGCTTGTCTCATGCCAGGCATAATGCTAGCCCCTGGAGATACAATGACCATTAACATGTAGGGAAGTGAGTACAAACAGACAGATAAAGAGCTGTCATTGGTTAAAAAGTCCCGACTGAAAGCCACAAGGGTGCCAAATTATGAGGACCAAGCCCAACCTGCTTGTCTTAGGAGGACCTGGGAGGGAGTGCAAGGCTGCCTCTGGAATTGTCTCCCCCAATTCCACACTGATAGAAGTGGGGCTGAGAAACCAATTCAGGTTAGCGGCTGGCAGGAGAAAAGACGAGAGAAGACAGGCCCAACATGGATGAATGTTTGGAACCAACTCTTGCTGAACCAGAGAAGAGGAGAAAGAAAAACTAAGGTCCAGATCTGACTCTGTGGTTTTAACAATAAAGATTATTTTTTCATTTACATCTTACAAATCAAACTTTTGGAGGTAAATCATATATTTGAATGCTATAGTATTTGTCCTAAGATTTATAAAACACTGTGACAGGTGTAGTAGTGTAACTTGAAACTTAAATTTTTGGCCTCATTTTGGCATGAATATGGCAAACATTTAAACAGCAAAACCCAATTTTTCTAGAACTAGTCTCTTTTTCAATGCTGTTGGTTTTGTGGTTCAATTTTTTTGCTTAAGCCTTCACCAAATCTGGAATGCTATTAAGTTAGCATATGGGCAATTCCTGATACAGAAAAACCTCTGTAAGTTGACCACCTAAGGGACTGTTAAAAATGGTCAGTATAAAGAGGTGGACATAAGGAACTAGGCTTCCTGTACTGAAAAGTACATATGGTACATGTGCCCTCTATGAAAATTAGGTCAACTTAAGGAGGTGGTCAACTGTGGAAATTTTACCGTATTATGATGACCTTGTATTTTCCTGCAATGTCTTAATCTTATCTTCCATGTAAAAATCTGGCTTTTTGAACCATTTAACAAAGCCAGGATTGAAGGACATCTTCTTGATTAGGGAAGGGCAAATAACCCAAATCATTTACTTAGGTAATTACTACTGCAAGAAATTTAGGCCCATAAAGCGCATGTCACCCACCTGAAGCTCTGAATGTTCTCTCAGGAGTCGATCATATTCTTTGGAAAGTCTCTCTGATTGCATCTTCATTGTTAACACATCATTCTGTGCCTTCAAAAGGGCTAGAAAATATTGAATTGAGTTTAATTTTTATTTTGAAATAATTTCAAATTTATGGAAAAGCTGCAAGACTTAATTTGGGTGTAGTTTACCCAAATGAACTGTTAATGTGATGCTACATTTGTTATCTTATTCTCTCTTCACACACGATTATTTTCTTAAATCTTCTGAGAGTAAGTTAAAGACATAGTACCCCTTTACTCTTTAACAAATCATTGTGTATGTAATTCCCAAGAGCAAAATATTCTCTAACATAACTACAGTATACTTAATCTAACCATTCATACTCCAATTTGGGGAACTGTCCCAATTACATTGTTTTTAGCACTTTTTTTTCCAATTCTAGTCCAGGATACAGACCTGGATCACATATTTGCATTTAGTTGTCATGTCTTCTTAGTGTCTTTTAATCTGGAATAGTTCCCTACCATTCCTGTAGCCTTCTTCTCCCCATCTTTCATGAAATTGACATTTTTAAGAATTAGGTCACTTTTAAAATAAAATGTTCTTCATTTTGTTTTTGACTGATGTTTCCCTCATGATTAAATTCAGGTCATGCACCACACATACATATAAAATATAAGTGATGTTGAATGCTTCTCAGGGTATCCAGAGGCTCATCACATCCAACACCCCTGTTTTATTTTTTAGTTACTATTTTACCCCTGTAACCAAAGAAGCAATATATATGAAGACAATTTAGACTGTGCAAACATTCTGCCCCTTAAGATGATGACACACACAATGACTATACATTGGCCTTTGTCTAGCAAGGATACAGTCATAAGTCATCAGATTCATGTCCTTAGATTTAATTTTTTTTTTTGAGACAGAGCCTCAAGCTATCCCCCTGGGTAGAGTGCCGTGGCATCACAGCTCACAGCAACCTCCAACTCCCAGGCTCAAGCCTCCCAAGTAGCTGGGACCACAGGTGCCCGCCACAAGCCCGGCTATTTTTTGGTTGCAGCCATTATTGTTGTTTGGTGGGCCCAGGCTGGATTCAAACCCGCCACCTTAGGTGTATGTGGCTGGCACCTTAGCTACTTGAGCCACAGGTGCCGAGCCCTTAGATTTAATTTTAAAAAGAAGAAAATATTTATGACAACACATTGTTGAAAAGATAGTAATTAGCCAAATATGTAGAAGGAAAGAGTAGTACAAAATAAGTTAGAAAAATTAGTCATTATACTTGAAAATTTTCTCTTAGTGCTTTCAGAAATTATTTTTCTAAAATCTGTGAATCCTAAACTGGATCTACTTATAATTCTGCATATGTAACTTTTAGAAATTCTGTATTTGTAAATCTTTTAGGGTAGGAGTTTAGGGAAGAAGTGGGATTTATAAATTTAAAAGTTACTTCTTTGGCATTACAAAATTATAGGTTCTATCTAACAATATTTCCTCTTAAGAAACCATTATATGGGCATTTTTAAAATAAATAAGCCATTATTAACTAAAGTACATTTTGTATCAGTACTTTTCAGGCTGTGTTGTTAAACTTTGTATTGTTCTACACCTATGCTGTCAATGTGGCAGTCACTGCCTACATATGGCTTTTGAGTACTTTATTTTAATTTCATTTTATTTTTTGTGACAGAGTCTTACTATGTTGCCCTCAGCAGAGTGCCGTAGCGTCACAGCTCACAGCAACCTCAAACTCTTGGGCTTAAACAATTCTTCTGCTTCAGCCTCCCAAGTAGCTGGGACTACAGGTGCCCACCACAACACCCAGCTATTTTATTTTGGTTGGAGTTGTCATTGTTGTTTGGCAGGCCTGGGCTGGGTTTGAACCCACGAGCTCTGGTGTATGTGGCTGGTGCCTTAGCTGCTGAGCTATAGGCACTGCGCCAGCTCTTGAGCACTTTAAATGTGGTCAGTACAGGTGAGGAACTAAATTTTAAATTTTATTTAACTTTAATTAGATTTCAGTTTGAATAGCCACATGTAGCTAGTAGCTAACCACACTGGATGGCACAGCTCTATAATTTCCTCCATGTTCCTTCTATAGACCCGTCATTCCAAATTAAGTATTAAAAACTGAACTTGACAAATTTAATGTGATGTCATTTGGTAAAGGTATGAGTCAGACATGGAAGACATTTTTGATGATGATTAGATTTCAGTAAAACTATAACCCCTATATAAAGAGTTATATATTAGTTTTCAATCTACAAAGCATTTCCTAGAGACTAATTGAAAATATGAAGCATAATTGGTGTTATCTTCAGGACTTACTGAAAATGTTCAAGAGCCAGGGTTTCTGATATATGTAATAATAAAAAGTAAAGTAGACTCTACAACCTAATAAGGCCTGATTGGCCTACAATGGTGGTTTTAAGAATGCTGGCAGTATAGTATAAATGCTGTGACCTCCCATTCATATACTGAAATCTAATAACCAATGTGATGTATAAGGAGGCAGGGATGGGAGGTGATTAGGTTATGAGGGCTCTGCCCTCATAGATGGGAGGAGAACCCTAATAAAAGAGGCCCCAGAGAGCTGCCTTTCCCCATTTATCATGTAAGAACACATGAGATGGTTTCCTCTGTGAAAGAGGCAATGGACCCTCACTAGACAATTTGCTTGTGCCTTGCCCTCAGACTTCCCAGCCTAAAGAACTGTGAAAAATAAATTTATTTTTATTTATTTATTTATTTTGAGACAGAGCCTCAAGCTGTCATCCTGGGTAGAATGCCGTGGAATCACAGCTCACAGCAACTTCCAACTCCTGGCTCAAGTGATTCTCCTGCCTCTGCCTCCCAAGTAGCTGGGACTATAGGCGCCCGTCACAATGCCTGGCTATATTTTGGTTGCAGCTGTCATTGTTGCTTGGCGGGCCTGAGCTGGATTGGAACCCACTAGCTCAGGTGTATGTGCCTGGCGCCTTAGGCACTTGAGCCACAGGTGCTGAGCTGAGAAACAAATTTTTTTTTATGTTGTTTATAAGCTATTCAGTGCATGGTACTTTATGATAGCAGCCTGGAGGTAAGAAGACAGCTGGTTTGGAGCTTGTATTGAATAGGAGTTGATCTTAATGTTAAGGAATGATTTATGCTTACATTTCTGGGGTGCATAAACTATTTAAAAAATTTAGTACATCACAGATATCAACTCATTAGTTTCTTGTTAAAAGTAGCTAGAAAATCACTTGTACAGCCTATCTAGGAGTTTCTTCTGGTTATTACTGGGATGAGGCTATAACAAAAAAATGCTGGCAAACATTGTTTTTCTGCCACTTATCAAGCCAAGGTATAAACTGTGTTTCTTATTTTATTTTGCATTTTAGGGGATATTAATAAACCTAATGATTACTATCTTATGAATTCACTCTAACTAGGGGAGGCTGTTGTTGTCTAGAAGCCTCTTGGACTGTTTCCCAGTTCTATTTCTTCCATTTTATAAAAATTACAATATTGAGTTTTGGATGCTTTCCATCTCCTTCTGGAAATACATCTGTAACTAGGAGATTATATAAACTTGTTATCTGACATGTGAATATGGTTGTTTTATTTTGACCATATTATTTTGGAAACAAAATATATATAGGGAAAACATTAACGGGCAAAGAGGCTTTTAGGTGATATAACTAAGTTGCTACTTCAATTTTCTTATCTGCAAAAATAGGTTGCTATACTTGCCAGTGGCTTTATGGAAATTGCTGAGATATTCATGAGAATACTGGCCACATTCAGTTATAGACTAGGCTACGCCCTAGGTTATGATCCACTAGGAACTTTTAAAGGCACATGCACAATTTATTAATACAGAAAGTAATGCCAATTAATGTTATAATGACACACTGTAAGGTAAACATTTGTGTAAAATGTTTATGTAAAATGACACATCAGAAGGCTAAAATATTTATTGTATTTCCAAGTGCCAAACTTATATTTATAGAGCTATTTGCACAATAAGAGGAGCTGGTGAGATTAATGCACTATGCCAATGTATTATTATTATTATTCCTTTTGAGACAGAGCCTCAAACTGTCGCATTGTGTAGAGTGCTGGGGCATCACAGCTCACAGCAACCTCTAACTCTTGGGCTCAAGCGATTCTCTTGCCCTGCCTCCCAAGTAGCTAGCTGAGACTACAGGTGCCTGACACAATGCCCAGTTATTTTTTAGTTGCAGCCATCATTGTTGTTTGGCAGGCCTGGGCTGGATTTGAACCCACCAGCTCTGGTGTTATGTGGCTGGTGCCTTAGCTGCTTGAACCACAGGTGCCAAGCCAATGTGCAAATATATTATATCACTATGATTTCTACCGGAGATAGCAGACACCACCAGCTAAACTCTGCTGGGAAATGGAAGAGAAACTTTGAGAGGCATTGGCATGACAGCTGAGGTTGCACTGTTATTGTACAGTAGCTGTAAGTTTTGAGCCAGAGAAAAAGATGTTTTATTTGAAAAATTTCCCAATAGTTAGTATCAGTTTCTTTTCAGTTTATTCTGTTGTTGAGAACTCAAGAGTGTGATATACCGGACCTATTTCGTACTTAATCCTCACATGTACTATTCCTTTGCCAGTGATCAATTACTGGACTATTAAGCTATAGTAATGCTTCCAGGATACTTGGAAAGTAGACACATAAACTTCTGTTCAATAAGGCATGCAAATTTTGACTTGAATTACATTACAGTTTACATTTGGTATATTTTGTATTTTTGTACATGGCTATATTTAGGGTTCTCATAGGTAAGGTTTGTAGTTTAGTCATCACTTCAGCCATCACCTACTCCCTCTTAACCTCACATCCATCTGTTGATAATGTTTGTTTCTACTTTCTTTATATCTCTCCAAACTAACCTTCTGCTCCACCTCTGTGACCACCATCCTCATCTCCAGCTCAGATTATTGAAATGGATTCTTCACCTGCTTGCCAGACTAACTGTGCACATGCTGTCCAAGCGATTGCTCTTATGCCTAAAACCCCTCCCACAGTGCCCCGAAATGTCAGCATATAAACATGGCATAGGAGGCTTTTCAGGATGGATTCTAG